AGTATACTTGCACATTAAACCGGAGCGCCGGCTGAGGGGCAGTATGCTCCATGATATCCAACAGCGTGCGAGATCTACTCCTGTTAAACCGTTGGCCATGAAGGCTCGGAGCTTGGATAATTGCGGAGCGTATTTACTCCTCTCCTTGGCACTTAACCTTTGTGGGAAGGGGTGTGTATTGCTGAGCCGCTCCGGACGAAAGCCAGGCAAAGGATTTTCATCATCAGGGGAAGTATCTTTGCAGTAAAACCATGTTGCATTCCACTCCTTGGGGTGACTGTGTAGTCTGGCATGGGGATAAGTGATTTCTTTCCTTTTCTGAATTGCCATACCGCCCAATTCGGTATTGGGACCATCAGTGAATTCTGTGCGGCGGTTTAAGTGGAAACAATCTCTAAACAATTCAACTGTGCGTTCCTCTTGAAGGTATACTTCACAAAGTACTTGGAAGTGACATAAGTTGGTAACAGAGTTGGGGCCAGTGTCTTGCGGGCGAAGTTGAAAATTGGCTAACACATCCCGGTAAAATTTAGAACCGGGCGGCTTGAAGCCCCGGGCTAAATGGTCCGCAAAAATCACAACCTCTCCCTCTTGAGGTGTGGGAGAACATTCATCACCAGGAACCCTCCAGTGGATAGTATCTTTACTGTCTAAAGCGCCAATCGAAACTAAATCATCCAGCTGAGTTTCTGTGACGCGAGAAGGAACCCAGTTGCACTCATATACTTGTTTGGCCACGATGAGATCTACAAGAAATAAGTGATTCCGGTTCAAGAATGCGCTGGTATGAACAATGTTAAACCGGAGGCAGTACATTTAAACCAGATTTCTATGAGGTAGCATAATAAGACTGAAGAAGTCTGGCGGTTCAACAAGGGGACTAATGGTATATACCGGTTTAATAATTTTTCCTATATTAAGTTAAACCGCCTGATCTAAACATTGAAAGCAATTGAGGTTGCGGATGGCTAAGTATGCAGAAACAGGTTTCACAAGGTCCTATTGTAGTAATGGATCTGAAGCAAGTTCAGAAAAACAAAAAATATTCAAAAGATTAAAGCAGAACGGAAGTGAATCAATGGGCAGGTATGTAGATGAGATCTATGGACTTGAGCGTGAAACTACAGGTGGATGCTAAAAGGCTACTGCTAATCAGAGCAGGGTTTCACAGATCTATCCAGGAGTCTGGGTACGAGCATGAACAAGTGAGGAACACGGCAAGAACACGAAACCCTAGAACAGATCTATGTTAAGAAGAGCAGAAGGCTTACCAGAATCGAGGAAGATGCGGAAAGCTACCGCAGTGCTCTGGAGCGTTCAGGTTGATGCAGCGGCCCAAGACGGTGCAGAGGTCAATGGCGGTGGCGGAGCTCCGAGGCTGGCGACGCGAGGAAGACGAAGAGAAAGAGACGAAGGGGAGAAAAGGAAATGACCCTTCGGTCCTGTTTATAAGGCAAAGGACGTGTGTCAGGCACGCGAATCCAGGAGCCACAAAATTCGGAAGTGGAGCTGCTGCCTTGGGTATAGCAGATCTATCAATGAAAGAAGGCGTCATAAATGTTAAACTCTGTGATGATGTCATGCCGGTCTACAGCAACCAGAGATGATGACGATATGGCGGTTTACCAATTACCAGAAGATGTTGAAGACAGAGATTTTTTGTGAAGGATTGACATGAACCAGTTCAAATCAATCTGGGGCCTAATGTTGGGGATATTACTACTAGGTGTGAACCGGCCTACCTGGGCCGGGTTAACTTCATTAGTAGTATAAAAGTGATTAAGCAGATGAAGGCCCAAGGCATGTAGTCGGTTTAGAACCTGTAGCCGTAAACCGGCTTGATATGTAAACTTGCATTGTAAGTTAGGAATAGAGAGAGACCAACCGGGATACGAGTATGAACCGGTGTGGGACTCTGTGGACCGACGGGCGTCACCCGTGTATATAAGGGGACGACCCGGCGGCGGTTCAAAGATAGACGACAACAACTCGAGCCTAGGCGAAGCTTGTTTGCTCCCTAGCCATCAAAACCACATCAATTCCATCACAACTAGACGTAGGCTTTTACCTTCATCGAAGGGGCCGAACTAGTATAAACCCTTGTGTCTTTGTGTCCGCTTTAACCCCTTCAAGTTAACCCGTAGCGATGGCTCCACGACTACGTCCTTTCACAAGGACATCTGCCGTGACAAATCCACGACAGGCGCGGTTGGGTTACCCACGTCCGTATTTATGAGAATCCCGGAATAAGGGGAACACGATCTCTGCTTCGACAAGGCGTGTCAAGGAAACCGCTTCGCTAAACACGCTGAGGTGGTATAATAAAAGTGATTCAAGTAAAGGCTTGGTAGTGGTGTGACGTCACGCCACCAAATACGTCAGCAGATTGAACTTGTGTAAATATTATTCTCTCTACGGTGGGATGTGGAATTTATTTTGCAGAGCCGGACACTATCCTAGTGTTCACAATCTTCCATAAATTATTCGGAGGAGGAACCCGCCTTGCAATGCCGAAGATAATATGCGCGCCGGACTCGTCGTCATTGAAGCCTGGTTTAGGGGCTACTGAGGGAGTCCTGGACTAGGGGGTGTCCGGATAGCCGAACTATCATCATCGGCCGGACTCCAAGACTATGAAGATACAAGATTGAAGACTTCGTCCCGTGTCCGGATGGGACTTTCCTTGGCGTGGAAGGCAAGCTTGGCGATACGGATATGTAGATCTCCTACCATTGTAACCGACTCTGTGTAACCCTAGCCCTCTCCGGTGTCTATATAGACCGGATGGCTTTAGTCCGTAGGACGAACAACAATCATACCATAGGCTAGCTTCTAGGGTTTAGCCTCCTTGATCTCGTGGTAGATCTACTCTTGTAACACACATCATCAATATTAATCAAGCAGGACGTAGGGTTTTTACCTCCATCAAGAGGGCCCGAACCTGGGTAAAACATCGTGTCCCTTGTCTCCTGTTATCATCCGCCTAGACGCACAGTTCGGGACCCCCTACCCGAGATCCGCCGGTTTTGACACCGACAGCTCCCCTTGTGTCGAATCAATAAATTTGGGTTGAATACTCTACCCTCGAAAACTGTTGGATCCCTTATACTTGTGGGTTAACCAACCTTAGATTTGTCGGTTTCCACCCCTTCGCCACCATAGACGTGGCTCAAGTAAGCCAAGCTGCACTGCCCAAAGGAACACCTAGAGAGCTTCACCTTCCAAGGTTGTGTTTCATACTAGTATGCCACCGAAGAAAACCTAGAGTACACTTGCGCAGCAGAGGAGCCAATGTTCCGTTCATGGCACTAAGGAAAGTAGCCGGTGCTTCTGTGAGCCCGAACGACGTCTATAGTACTCATAATGTTCGTTGTGAGTTTGTAAGGACGTCTTGTAATCTTCTCCTTTGGCCATTCGGATCTGCCGATATCCCGCCCTCAACTCGAGCTCTGAAAACCAAGTGGCCCTACTCAATTCATCCATAACATGTACAAGGTGCTTTGACTTCACAATAGAGGTACTGGTAGACAATGCAAACTCGCCAAATACCATCTTCCATCTTTGTTCATGACCAGGAGTGCCGGGGATGAATATCATTTCTACCACTTGACGCTTGATGAGTCCAATTTATGTGATGATGTTATGTTTTATTCTATGGCTACATAGTAGGTTGTGTTGTATTTTATTGTGTTCACGCACTTCTTTTTGTCCATTTTCCCGAGGATGGGTTTTGGGAAGTAATTGGAATGCTAAGAAAGAACTTCAGGAAAAGGTGATAACATCACATCAATTGATGTGATAAATAATTACCATAAAAGAATGTAGACATTGGGAGAACCTAGGGGTTGCGCAGGGCTCTTGTGCCAGCCGGCGCCACCTCCCCCTGATCGACTAATTCCACCCTGTGTAATCTGCAGGTCAGAGATCAGACGCACGCAGACACCAGAAACTTATCCCGAACACAAAACCCTAGCCTCTGGAAGGCATTTGGAGGGGGAATTAGCAACGAGGAGATCGCCATGTTCGCCACGTTGTGCAAGGGGACGTCGGCATCAACCATCTCCATCAGCATCCGTCTCCACCTCGTTGTAATACCAAACCCCTCATGGATCACTACGTGTGTATTACTCGCTCGTTCCATGCATGTTACTACAGCTATCTATATGATGTTTGTCGTCTCATGCGAGCAAACCCCTAGTTCTTGGCACAGAGCGCTCATGACATAAACCAAACTAACCTTGTATCTTTCCATATATATATACCAGAACTGATCTGGGGAAATATCAGCTTAACAAGGGTAAAGCTGTCTGGCGAATGTTCGCTGGGGGTGAGATGCCAGTGAACGCCCCGAGAGGCACACGGTCTAGATCCAACGGGTGACAGTTTTTGACGATTTTTACACTAAAAATGAAATCATGCTTAGATGTTTTCAAAAATCTGAAAAGGTTTCTAGAAAAAGGTAGCAATGTAAAATTTCAATATCAAAACTGAAACATCTGTAATGTATGAAGGAAAATTTTGAATGTATTAAAAAATATGAATAAATAAATAAAATTAAACTTATGAATTAATAGTAGTTTATTTTCTGGAAACTTCTGTCCGAGAATGCAACAAATTTCTGGAAAGCCGCATCAACCTGATAGAGTACGAAAGTAATCCACTAACAATTACCTTTTTTTTTCAGCCAGGAGCACAGGATCAGAAAATGCAGTTTGCATGCAAAGTTCCAAAGTAGCGAAGCCATCACCCAATCAAGAAAGCAAACGAAAATATGGATGGTGATCAGCACGAGCATGTTTCAATGTAAATGCATAAATAATGCACCGATCAAATTCACTGGGGACACCACACAGTGGCAATTACAGGTTATTACACAATGGAAATTTGGTCATTCTACTGCTCTCCACACTGATCAAACCATAACCATGGGAGCTCAGCTACCTACGATGCACTCAGATTGAAATGCAAGCACACCAACACGGCCCTCCACAACACATAATCTAAAATGCAATTAAGCTAGCGATGACAAGCACACCGACGAGGACCAGCAGCATCTTCAAGTAGACATCGACCTGCTGGCCCTGCGGCGCCTGGGGCGGGAAGCCATGCCCGTGCCACCCATGGAAGTCATGCCCGTACCCGTAAGGAATCCCGGCAGCGGGTCCATACGCCGGCGGGAACCCGTGCACCTGGAAGTTCAGCAGAGGGAACAGCCCCCCGATCGCGGCGGAGAATGTGTAATTCCCCCACCGACCGCCGGCCATGGCGCCTGCACCAGGGAACCACGGGTTTTGGTTCGGGTGCGGGTAATGGTCACGGTGATCAGGCGGCGGAGCAGTGGCGCGCCGCTGCCCGGACGGTCTGCTCGGGATCTGCGGCCCCTCAGACGAGCTCGGCCGCGGTTCGGCGGAGGTCTTGCCACGGCCGTAGATGGGGACGAGCCTGTCCTCCTCGACATTGGCCTTGCAAACGGGGCACTCGGGGAAGTGCGCGTGGACGTGGAGCCACTCGTAGAGGCACGGCCAGCAGAAGAGGTGGCCGCACAGGGTCACCACGGGGTCCTGGGCCAGCTCGAGGCAGATGTTGCACTCGAAGCTGCCCGAGTCCTTCCCGGCGCCGCTGGCGCTCGACGACGAGGACGACGACTCGCCGACGCGGTTCGCCATGGCGCTGGACTCCGATCTGCGGAATGGGGGAGCCAATCAGAACAAGAAACCGTGATCCGAGTATCCGACAGGCACAGCACAAAGATAGGACAGGTCTAAATTTAGAAATTGGTTTTCTTCAGCAGCACAGATTCGATCCGGCATTTAATTTCTCTGGTTCCATCGGCGACGGAGGAACGAAAATCCAGCCCCAATTCAGCGAAAATCACTAGAGAACGACGACCTCCTCTCGGGTAATCGAAGAGGAGCCCACACAGACGATCGGTCCAACATTGTCAATTGTCAAGAAAATTACCCAAATCCGTGCGAAGGTACCGTCGTCGACTACGCGCCACCGGACATTGGTTGGGACCTTGTACTATGGCTGGCCAAGAGCCCAACACGCGGCGATGCGGCGAGGGCGACGCTTCGGCCGCTAGACTCGAGTGGAGCGTGCGAGTCGTTGTGCGCAACACAGCTGAGGCAGCCTAGTGCAGGTGCAGACGTGTATCGTTTCATGTGGAAGGAGGCTGACTGGACAATCAACACGAGCAGACGAGTTTTTTCTTAAATGATTCAGATTTATTATAAAAATTCATCGGAAGTACTAAGTATTTCAAATCAAACATAATAGAAATTACATCGAGGTCTCTAGACTACAGGACGACAACTATCGCCATTAGAACGAGCCACCGATAACAGTTAGGAAGTCTTCGTGCAAGTGCTTCTAAGGACCAACGCCATGTATATGCAGTCGTCGCCATTGAACTTTGAATAGATCTGAAGACACCAAATCTCTCCGTCACGCACGCATGACGAGAAAGCCTCACCTCGCCGCCCCAAGAAGACAGCAGGAACCTACGCCGGGTCTCCATCGACTATGTCCTGATTGGATCGGAGCCCGGAAGATATACTCGAAGAAGCACCGTGATTCTTCCGAGTGTCGCACCTGCGGACTAAAAAAACTAACCGAAACTACTAGCCAGAGCGAAGGCACCAGGATTCGCCTCACCGTCACTGGCCGTTGAAGCGGTGGGTCGAAGTGAGGGGAATCCAGGTTTGCCAACGAATCTTGGAGAGGAGATTTTGCCCAAGCCGCCAAAAGGAAGGGGAGAAAATGCTTGAGTCTAAATGGTCACGAATAGATGGGCTATACGTGAACACATCGGGTCTACATAGAACGGTCTCGCATGGGTGAAACCATAAGATGCAGGGTTCCATAAGCAAGCACAAAGTATCAGTGTCACGGGGATTTCGCAATAACACACATGATTTAGGGATTTTGAGAGAGGCAAGGCGCACATGAATAATCTAGGTGCGGGATTTACAAGAGCGACTTTTACCTAGGATTGGACCCTTCGGTTAGAGGTGATACACGACTCATGTTAGGTGTTTTTTATCAAGCCTCGTATGAAGGTTTAACAATGAGGGTCTGATGACCATGTGTCTAGTGAATCTATTTGTGTAGGCTTAGGGACCTTGTAATCTTATCGAGATTTCCACCATCCTCGCCTTACATTAAACGGCGAGGATGAAGAGTACAATAGCTGTTATGGGTCATGATTAAATAACCACACAATGATAATGATGATGAAATAATGGATCCCAGTCCATTCATCATTATTACTTTCAACCTCGATCAACTTTTTTATTTCTTGTTTATTATTTCAACTCTGGTTTGTTTTGTTGCAATTATCACTTTCTACCCTAAGTTACATTAAGCCTTGTAACTAGAAAGGCTAATGAGACTGACAATCTCAATGGCTTTGCTGGGGTTGAATTGAGAAATGTTGCAATTATCACTTCCTTGTTTGTGCAGTGCCTCTTGCACACTCAAGTTTTTCCATTTGGTGATTACAAAAATGATAGGCGCTGTATCGCGCGGTCTAATACCACCCGCCGAAGGGGAGTCCCAGAAGATTCTTTAGTTCTCGTTCCCAATGGACGCCATTGTGAGGGTGTGGAAGAGGTCCATATCATCGTGGTTGCACATGTTATTAGTGCCCACCCAAGCACACTCTGTGTGGTCCATTCCAGTCGTATCCACCGAAGCCTAAGAGCTAGTGCAATTTTTTCCAAGTGAAGGACCTCCATGCCATCAAGATTGGACGGGTTGCACAACGCGTCACGGTTAACCTTGCATTTTCCTCCAGAAAATTTGTCAATACCCTCCCACAAGAAAGCCCTTCAGATCTTGTCAATAAATTGACGGACCTCTACCAGAATGGCAAGCGATGTGATGTTGTTGATTGCAAAGGAGGTGAGGACCTCCTTGAAAAGAGTGGGACAATCCGCCATGTTGCAGTGCTTGCCATGCCAGGGAGGGAGCTTGCCCGTAAATTTATCCTCTAGGTGCTGGAAGTGGATCCGCTTTAGGCACCTAACAGAGAAGGAGATGCCAAGGTGCATCATGGGGAAAATTGTTTTATTGACCGAAAGACTATGAAGAACGGCGTCGAGATTGATGTTTTCACAGCGAATAGGCACCATGGACGATTTATGGAAATTTATCTTTTAGGCATGTGACCTCTCCAGACCCTTTGAGAATGTGAGCAACGACATCGATGTCCTTAAGGGGAGCCACAAAAATCGCCATGTGGTCAATGTACAAAAAAGGGCGAAAAGTGGCACCCTTTACTGGAAGACGGTGACCAAGCCCTTGATCAGTGGTAGAGGCAAGGATATTCTGTAGGGGATCAATCACGATGACGAAGAGGAGTGGGGATAGTGAGTCCTCCTGTCAGAGCCCCTTCCATGCTTGATCACGTCGTCGTGGATCCTATTGAGTAGTACACGCAAGGATGATGTATTAAGAAAATCCATTACCTAGTTACAGAACCTAGAGGTACTAAACCCCTTCTCTGAAGGATATCAAGGATGTAATCCCATGGTACCGAGCTGAAGGCTTTTCTGATGTCAAACTTAAACATAGGGTTTGGCTTGTTTTATCAATGCAGCCATCTTGCATAGTTGTGGATAAACATGAAGTTGTCATGAATGCTATGAGTTTTCATGAAGGCACTTTGCGCATTCGAAACAATAGAGTTCATATGGGGAGCGAGACTATTAGTGAGCACCTTGGCCAAATTTTTGGCCAGAGCATCGATGAGGCTAATCGGGGACCTCCTTCATTAGCTGAATTGAGCCACTACAAGTGCGTGACTTGATGGTTAGGAAAATGGTTGACAACATTCATCACATTTTTTCTTATAATCTCTCAACATTTTTTTGAGTTACTTATAATCTCTCAACATGTCTTGAAGAACTCCGCAGCGAAGCTATCCAGGTCTGGTGCCTTATACAGGCTCATTGTAGTGCAGATTACACTACGAGAGAAAATGCAGACTATGATAAATTCAGGCAACCAAACGACATGCTGAACATAACCCAGGCTTCCAAAAAAAATGCGGAAAGCAGCGTGCTGATAACCAAACAGCCCCTAACAAGGGTGCAGATAACCAAACAGCCCCCGGCGTTTAGCCTGTGCGTTTTGCAGGAAAAAAAAGTACAAACAGAGAACTTTGGATGCCCCGTGAGAATCCACATGCATGAAAGGACGCGAGGAGAATTTGAAGCCAAAGAACTGAAGTAGTCTGCTGCTATGTACACACACGCACGCAACAACGGCATTCTAGCCGCGCGGGCCAGCTTCACGTCTCTTGTAGCCCTCTCTAGGCCAGGACGCCCCCCAAAATTTGCCGCGCTAAACCAGCCGCTGCTAAAGCTAAAGTACTAGGCCAAGGGAAAAATGACCGTAGAAAAGGTAGAAGTTCAAACTAACACACGCAAACTAGAACGGTGCAGTGGCAATGTCTCTCTTGATGGAGCGTCCGTGGGGGCGGCAACCCGTGCCGCCGCCACCGCGCGGCGTCGAATCCTCCGACGAGCCGAGCTCAACGTCGTCGTCCGACGAGTCAGTCATGGAGGAGCCCATCTTCCGCACGCCCCGCACTGGCTTGAGCCCTTCCGTGAAGATCCTGATGGCTTCCTCAGTCGTCCTCGTGCTCACCACGTACAGCGCCGCCTCCTGCAGTTTCGATAAATATCTGTCAATTAACTAACTCAAGCTGCTCTGTCACTTTTTCTAGAAAACGTTCGATCTATTCATCATCTCACAACGGTATAAAGAACACAAAAATAATAAAATTAACAACCTAGCGACGAACGAGCCGATGCACGTACGTGCATATGTACGAGTTACATGAGTGATGCGTATGCGAGTACAGAAGGAATGTAGTACATACGCGAGACGATTAAATTCTGGTGGGCAACGTCCTAGTCACGACTGTTCTCTGTTGTGACGGACGCACGACACGTCGACACACAAGCTTCATGGGAACAGAGACCGACCCAAGTGCATGAACAGCGCATGCAGCAAGCAATAGCGATCGCACTTGCGTATGTAAGCACCTTCGTTCATCAATTCCTTCTCATTCCAGTACTACTGTATTTGTTTTGTGTTTCTTTGTGCATTGTTTGGGTGACTGCGACCCTCCAAGTTTTCAAAGTCGTACATATTATACGCTGGGATACAAAATAATTTTGTAGAAAACACTGTAAATTTATCTATTCACTTCAACCAGGAAAATACTCCCTCCGTCCTATAACGCAAGACATTTTTTTACACTACACTAGTGTTAAAAAACTACATTATGGAACGGAGGGAGTAATATATTAAAAAATAGGAAAAATAGTACATGCAGGAATAGGAATTTTTTTTACTTAGCAGGAGGGTTCTTTGTACAAACAGGATCCCTTGAATGGATGGATCCAATTTCGCAAAAAAAAAAGGATGGATCTAGTACATCGTTCATCAAGAATCCTCTTTAAGGCTAGTTCTTTTGCTAAACCAGTGTGCATGCATACGAAACTTATCGTCCGGGGTGTTGTAGAGATGAGTGGAAACCGGATGGAATCGACTTTACAGGTAGCTGAGGTAGGTCACTAATCACCACAGAGAAACGGTAGAGTTACACGTGCAAAAGATGGCCGAGTTGAATAATTTGCCTTTCAGCTCTGGA